AAAGTGAAGGACAATGTTTGTCATTTCTTGCTTGCACAGGTTGCACTATTGAAAAATTGAGATTGTATAAACCTGTCCAAAAAAACTACAAGATAATGATCTTGTAGATGTCAAATAAAAGTTATTGTACTAACAAGAAGTGGAGTCTTGTTTAGGCAATCACGGTATTCCAAAAAAACTAACAAGTCTGTACAATTGGAATCTGACAGGACTTGGCATGTTCCAGGCTGCTCTAACCAGGCTTCTGTCTTGCAGCCCAAATCTCTCAGCTGAACTCGCTAATGAGGCAAGAACTAAACTCTGTTTAAAGCTCCAAATGTGTGTTTTAAGGAAGGCTCAGCTGCCAGAGCAGGATCACTGCAGGGGTGGCACCTCCCGAGGGTCAGAAGGAGCTTCTCCGTAAATAACAGGGCAGAAGTTCCACAGCTTGAGGCCAGAGTGTGTTCCCTTATGGGAATTGTCCTCTTGAGGCTGCAGTGTCTTCCCTTATGGAATTGTTTCCCTTGAGGCTCAGTTAACTCTGCCTGTGCCACCAGCCCAGTGCTCACGGAGCCCCTGCTCAGCAGGGAAGGGAGTGTGCCCACCTCCCTCAGCTCCAGCCTGAGCTGGTTGGGAGATTAAACCCCTGCTCACGCTTGGGACTAACTGGGAATACAGACCTGGAATAAATCCTCTGCTCCCTGTTGCTGTAGCACCTGCTGCATCTCTGTAAATCCTTGGAATGCAGGTGGTGGGTGTTGGGAGCAAGGAAACTGTGCCTGAGTGCTGTCAGAGCCCTGGCAAACTGTGGAGCACAGGGTGTGGGGAAGGATGTTCCTGTGTTCCATACCCACAAGTGCATGGATTTGGCATCCATTCCAAGAGCAGAGATGGGATTTTGAGGAATGTGTTGACAGATCACAACTGCAGCAGACAGGGAACCAAAGTGCCAGTGAGGGCAGGTTGGGTGGGGACTGCCCTGGCTCTGACTCTTAATTGTTATTTGATGTAGAAACTTCTGGGATCTGAGATGGTAACAATGTTTTAGGTCTTGATTGTCAGTGAGATGGTTCTAGAAGTCCCAGGTTCACAATTAGTGATTTTTTTTTTTCAATTTTTTATCGTTTGAAAAAAATTACTTAGACTTGCTCAGTTCCTAAGTGCTCTTCTCAGCCTGATGTTGCTGGGATGAGCAAATGCTGGATATTCCCTGTATTGATAAGCAAACCAAGCTGAAATTTTATTTCAGCCTCTTAAACTTTCCATAGACTTGAGTCCCTTGGAGGGGGGAAAAAAGCTGACAGGACTTCCAAGATCCATAAGAACCGTTCCCATTCCAGAAATCTATTCCTCCACTTGCTGTCCTTTGCCTGCTCTCTGCTACTTGCCACCATCACTGCCTTGGCTTTGCCACCCAGTTACTAACACAGCTGCAGCCACGGCTCTGGACTGTTAAACATCTTAAAGGTTAACAGCAAAAAAAGAAAAAAAAAATAGCCTTCAAGCTCCAGCAATGTTTTCTCTCTTGAAAATTCCTGCTCAGGGGGTTGGGATGGGGGTTTGGGGCAGTTTGTTCCTTGCATGAGCTGCTGCTCCAGCTTGGGGAGAAAAGGAGTATAAATAGCACTGGATGGGGTGAGGAACAGTGAGTGGTGTCCCTTTGCAGCACTGCCCCTGAGACAAACATCCTCCTGGGCAGGAAAGGAGACCAATTGTCACTATAAATTACCAGGCAGGGACGGTCTCTGTGTTTTCCTGCTTGTGGGGTATTGATCTGCTTTGTAAAAATGAAGTACAAAATGTTTGGTGGAGTGGGTATAAAACTCACAGAGGGCAGATGTCTCTGATAAAGGGGCAAAGCCACATGTAAAATGGTGTCAACTTCTGTGCCATGGGAGTTTTGGACTCGAGCTGCAGAAGGGGAAGGTACATAATTAAGTTGACTTGAGAACTGAAACCCAAATTTTGGGGTTTCTTTTCTAAACTTTCCCCTGACAGCAACTAAATTATGACTTGTTAACTATGTCTGACACATTAAATGCAGTTGTAACCTCCTAAAATCCTCCTCCCACAGCAAGTTTTCCACTATTTCCAGTGGTTCATTGGGAACACACACCTCTTGTAAGGACTTCCAAGTTCCCTGAAGATGCGAGTTGTCTACTCTGTGTGTAGTATTTTCTTTGTAAATGAAGAAATCTCTGCAACCTGTAAATGCTTGTCCAGTGAATTACCCAGGGGATTTGTATTTTCCTTTTGCATTTGGAATAACTTCCCTCTGCTCCAGCGCAGTCTGTACATATATAGAGTCTGTATGTATATAGAGGTGTTAAAGGCTACTGAATATTGAATGTAAATAACTCCTGTTTTCCTGTGTTTTTTTTTCTCCTTCATTCCCTTCCCAAGATGTATTCCTATTTTCTCAACCTGCCACATGGGCAGTTTGTGTGTACTTTGAAATATATAGAGATCATATATAAACCTCCCAGGGTGTGTGTGTGCATTGGGGATGTTCCGTGTTGTCATCAGTGTTTTAAAAGCTCAGTGTCCTTGTTCCGTGATCCTTTTGATGCTCTGTGGTTTTATTCTATATTTTTAGTGTATAATGCATTTTTTTGAGAGAACTGATGTCTTTCAGTGACACAGCGAAACAAATATTTGACTTTTTACAGAGTTTGTTTCCTTTAATCTTTTCAGTGCATTTCAGATCTTGAGCTTTAGTCCTAGAAACATTTCCATTTTCTTCCAATTATTTTTATCTCCAGTTGTGCATTCAGGGAGCTCCTACAATCAGAGTTCTAGAATTAAATTCTATCCCGTCCTAACATGTCAAAGTGTATACTACATTCAGATTAAATGTGAACTGTGTCTTAAAAGCACTCTAGAAGGGTGGGGATTTCATAGAATCTTAGAATGTTAAGGGGTTGGAAGGGACATTAAAGACCATTCAGTGCCAACCCCTCTGTCATGGGCAGGGGCACATCCCACTAGACCAGGTGTTAGTAAACAGTTTGTTCTATTTGCTGGTTTGGGAGTGGAAATGATGCATCTGTTGTAGAATATTTCCTGGGAAAACTTTGAGCGTCCTGTCATGTCTAAATGTGCAAAATGAAGGTAGTGGAACTTTCTTACCTTAGAAAAAATGATGCATTTCTTAATTGCCAGGTAAAAACACATCTATTTACCTCAGAGTTGGAGATAAATGAGAATCCTTAGCTGGTCCTTTCTGTGGTCAGTCAGGCTTTGAACAGTGAAGGTGGAGAACGAAGGGGGATGGTTTGCTCAGTGCTGCAGCTCCAGGGTTTGGCCCTGTGTCATGGGCTCGTGGGGATGGAGGGGGTTGGCAGGAGGAACAAAGTAACACAACCTCCTTAGGCTGAGTTTGAAAAAAAAGCTGGTTTTGAGGAGAAAAACATGAAAGAGGGAAGAAAAGGCTGTAAACAGCTGAGGGCAAGTTGCCCCTAAAAACTTGTGCTGGAGAGAACAAGATGTAAAAACCTCAAGAACTTCCTTGATCTGATGTGCTTTGCTATTTCTTTATGGATCCAAAATAATTTTGGAATAAAGTTTGAGGCACTAATAAGATTCAAGAGTAGGAACTGGACAGGTTTAAGATGAAGCCAAAACTCATGTAAGTTTTTCACCTGAACGGATCCTGCAGGTTTCTGTTGTCCTGCACCCCACGTGTGAAGGATCTGAGACATCTGTGTGGAGAGCACAGGCTGAAAGGAAAGGATCTGGTGCAGCTAAACCAGAATACGGAAATACATTCGGATTTAAGGGATGTCCTGCAGCGTTAAATACCTGAACCAATGTGAGTTCCATTTTATTTCATAAGAACTAAGTTTGGTTGGTGTCTCTGAACTCAGCTGTGCTCAGAGCATCACTTCCATGAGAGGGGTCACTGTGGAGGAATAGCCTTCCTACACTTGATCTTCACTGGGAAGGATAAAGAGACATTTCTACTGCCATTTCTGATGACATATTGATGTCTCTAATCCTGATTTGGAGAGGATAAC